GGGCAGGTGTAGCACTTCCTGCGGTTGCAGGGAAAAGTGCCGGGTGTGGTGGAGCTGGAGGTGAGTGTGGAGCGGACAAGGGAGTCATGGAGAGAGTTGTCCCTCCGGAAAGCAGATAAGGGTGGGGAGGGAAAGATGTCTTTGGTGGTGGGGTCGGATTGCAGATGGCGGAAGTGTCGGAGGATGATAAGTTGGATCCGGAGGTTGGTGGGGTGGTACGTGAGGACGAGGGGGATTCTTTTTTGGTTCTTATTGTGTGGACGGCGTGTGAGGGATGAGGTGCGGGAGATGTGGGAGACGACATGTCCATCCTGGGCCTCCTGCAGTGCCACAACGATGCCACCCGAAGGTTGCAGGAACAGCAACTCATATTCCGCTTGGGAACCCTGCAGCCCAATGGTATCAATGTGGATTTCACAAGTTTCAAAATCTCCCCTCCCCCTACCGCATCCCAAAACCAGTCCAGCTCGTCCCTGCCTCCCTAACCTGTTCTTCCTCCCACCTATCCCCTCCTCCCACCTCAAGCTGCACCTCCATCTCCTACCGAGCAACCTCATCTCGCCCCCTTGACCTGTCTGTCCTCCCTGGACTGACCTATCCCCTTCCTAACTCCCTACCTACACTCGCCTTTACTGGCTCAATCCCCGCCTCTTCGACCTGTTTGTTTCCTCTCCACCTATCCTCTCCTCTATCCCTCTTCTATCCGCCTCCCACTCTCTCCCTATTTATTTCGGAACCCCCTTCCCCTCCCCCTTTTCTGATGAAGGGTCTAGGCCCGAAACGTCAGCCTCTCTGCTCCTATGATGCTGCTTGGCCTGCTGTGTTCATCCAGCCCTGCACCTTGTTGTCTCGGATTCTCCAGCATCTGCAGTTCCTACTATCAAGGATTCTATGAAACAGTTTAACAGCTCAGTTAGCTTCAGTGAGAGAATTTGACATGAGCAGGTTTAATGTTTGTATCTCAATCACGGTTCTGAGCTGCTCAAAGATGGAAATACATTTTCAGGATTACCCCACTCATCAGCCTGGTCTATTTAGCCATCTCAACCCTTTTCTTAGCGCAGGTCCAAGGTGAAACCGATTGACTGCTGTACTCTAGTGTGTGAGGGACAGAAGAGTAATGGAGTTGATTTAATCTAGTCAGCACCACAGATACAAGTCAAGCTTAAATTTCACTTGCAGCAATCTCCAAATGATGTGAACCTGATATAGTTCATTAGCATTTATTGTGTAACCATCACATGAGATTACTGTTTGCACACTAGAGACCAGAATATCCTTTTCCCTCAAATCCCCACTCTCCTGTTTGGGCAGATAAATTTTCTGGTCATTTGTTTTAAGAGTCCCGTGGGCCACTCATATTCTGTATCTGATAACCCCACTAAATCTTTTGAGCACACAGGATTCATGTCAGTTTTGATCCTGGCTGTACTCCATCAGGGTAGGTTACTTGGAAATCTCCGTAGATTTGAGAACTCTGCATGTTCTCTATTCGAATCTACAAGCCTTAAACTATCCAAGCAAAGAACAATCTCTCTCTCAAATGGATTATGTTTTGATGTAGCTTTTCCCAATTAGATTCCAATCTTCCAAACCCTGCTTCACCTTTCCCAATCTCTGTCATGTCATCCAGCACTACCCCCCCACTCTGGGATATCAGCACTGCTCCGATTCCAAACCCAATGATCGTTGCTGATTTTTATCGGCCACCATCAGTGGTCACACTTTCAGCTGGTGCTACATTTACACAAATTGCTGTTGTAATTGCCCCACGGCAAGCACTACAAGTAACACTGAAAGATTATGAACTGGTTTGAGTTTCCCAGTCTCTCTTGCTGTTATCAATGAACTTTGCTTTACATTTGCCAGTGGGATGGAGGAAATCACTGGCCAGGCCAGCGTTTGTTGCCCATCCCTAATTGCCCTGGAAAAGCTGTCATCTTAAAACGCTACATGGTGTACATGCTATTAAAGAGGTAGTTCCAGGATTTTGACTAGCAACATTGAAGGCATAGTGATGTAGTCCCAAGTCAGGATGGTGTGTAGCTTGGAGGGGAATTTGCAAGCAGCGGTGTACTCCTGCATCTGTTGTCCTTTGGGATGGTAGTGGGGGTGACTTTGGAAGGTGCTGTAGGAGGAGCTTATGTTGTAAATGGGGCTCTCCTGCTGCCCCTGTGCATCAGTGGCAGAGGAAGTGAATGTTGATGATGTTGGGTGAGGTGCCAATCAAACAGGGCTGCTTTGTCCAGGCTAGTGCTGTCACAAGAACAACCGTGAATGTCCAACTTGTAAGGAATTTGAAGACTGTTGACCATTGGGATCATTTTCAGTTCAATCTCCCGCCTTCAATAAGAGCCAGCGCGCTGTGTCAGAAAGTAGGAGCTCAACACAGACCTCCCCATTGTCAATGTGACTGGTTGCTTTCTCTGGGTCCGCAGTGTGAGTGCTGCTGAGGGGACCATGGAGGGGTAGATACGGAGGACCATGCACGGAGGTGTCAACGGCCCCAGGACTGTCATTCACAGGAGCATCTAAGAGTCCCTTTGGCTAAAACAGCTGTCTACCACTGGAATACATCAGCATTACTGTTCCTGTGTTGCTAATGATCAGAAACCCTGAATTCCCACTGCTGTCTAACCTTGCACCTGTACAACCAGCTCCTTGGGTTTACTGACATGTTAATACAACAAGATGTCCTTCTGGTAGCAAGTAGGACTGAACTACCCAGTTACCCAATGTAACGGGCTTCCTGCCAGACAGGCTGGCCACTTTGGACTCCACTTGCCCCGGGAGAGGCACATGAAGGTTTGGAGTAGACCCACCAACTGGTCCATCACACTTATAACTCACTTTGTTCCTTCCCCCCAACCTGCCTCCCACCTCCAAGGGCTTGGTAAAACAACCCACAGTGTCTCAGATTACGCTGCATTAATCCTTAGGATTAGAGACTACATCAAGCAAACTTCTAACCAAAATAAATAACGCAAGTTAGTTAAAGGTTTGGCTCTCAGATCATCTGGTGAATTTAAGCCCAAATGTAACATCCATTAAATAGACTGTCAAAAGTTAATAATTTTATAAAAATGTTTGCTGAAATAATGGGAGTAATCCTTTTTCAACATCACACCATATAGAGGTTTATAAAATCAAGAGGGGTATAGATAGGGATAATATCTTTTAATGGTACGCATCTTTTCCCTAGCAGGAGATTTCAAGACTTGGGGCTATATATTTAAGGTGGGACGAGAGAGATTTAAAAAAGACATGAGGGGCAAATTTTTTACACAGAGAGTGGTTTGTGTGTGAAGTGAACATCCTGAGGAGGTGGTGCATGTGGGTACCGTGTTGAAAAGATACTTAGATGAGTATCTGAATAGGAAAGGATGAGAGGGATATGGGCCAGGAGCAGGAAGCTGGGATCAGTTTAATTTGGGGGATTATGGTCAGCAGGGACTGGTTGGACTGAAGGGTCAATCTCCATGCTGTATGACTCTATCACCTTGTGCAGAAATGTCAGCAGTGTACTCTGTTCCCTATGTCTTCATTTTAATTTGAGGGACTACACTCCTAAATTCTTTTGGGTTTTGGAAATATTAATTATTTTTACTCCTTCCAGTATCTGTGTAATATAACAAGTTATTTTCTCTAACTAGACACTTGTAAATCTAACTGTTCGAATATAAATCATCAAAACTGTGGTGCAGTTTTCAGCCATCACATCTTGTACTAAAACGTTCATTCTTAACTAATAGTTGGTAAATACAAAAATCACTTTGTGATGGGAATACAGAAACCAAATAAAACTAGCTGTGAACAGCCAATAGGCATTTATGTCCTAGATACAATGTGCAGAAATTCAGAAAGGATCAATGATGAATTGATTCTTTTGGATATGATGATAAACTAGTTGGTTATTTCAGAGACATGAAGATAGGTTCTCCGGGTGACCAGGAAACATTTATCCCTCAACCAATGTCACTGAAACAGATCATCCAGTTATTTCCTTAATTGCTATTTGTGGGAGCTTGCTGTGCACTCCTACATTGCAACAATGTCTACACGTCATTTTAGAGAACTTGAGGAGACCCTCAGTTTGTGAAACTATATTAAAGATTTTGGTATTCTCTCTCTCCCTCCCTTTCTCTCAGTTTTCCCCTTTCTTTTGCTCCTACCAATGCAGTAGAAATGGTACAGATATTAGCGTCAGCAGCCGTTGTTAAAATCAATCTGAAGATAGTGCAAACCACTAACAGTGACCTGTTTACGTGAGGGCAATTTCTCTGTAACATACTCTGCTCACTTAAGCAGCTCAGACGATAAGATGGTGATATAAAGCAAGGCGCTGAAACACAGGAGGCTTCATCGATCCCTGAGCTGAGATACATAAGAAACCAGTGGAAATCCATCTTGAAATTGCACATAGCTTTAAGCTTCAGACTGTTCAATCAAGGAAGCCTGTCCCCTCCATCCTCACTGAGCCTGGGATCACATTCCCAGGGTGCTGCCCCTGTATCCCATGGCAGTGCAATGCCCGTTTCCACTCTGGTCTCCCAGTCTATTCCCATTTATTCTCAACAGAGTGTTCCAGCACAACAGCTGACCCTGAGACATTATGACCAGGATTTATATGCATCCAGAGGCACTTGTTGGAAAGAACCAATGTGCCTCTTTTTCACCATCTCACAGAATAGAATGAGACCATTCAGCCCATCTTGCCATCTCCTCGAAAGAGTAATGCAATCTGTCCCAATCTCATGCTCTTGCCCCACAAAGAGCTCTGTGTTTTAACCCTATGGAAAGTTGGAGCATCTGTCTTCTGGAGAGCACTTTCCAGACCACCATAACTTGCTGTGTTAAAAAACAAACCCTCCTCAGCTTGCTTTTGATTTTTTTTTTAATCATGTTCAATTTTTGTCTTCTCGTTGCTGACTCTTCTGAAACAGCTCCTCCTAACGTTGTTTAATTCTTCGCTAAAGTAACTGTTGATGGATGTAATTATTTTTCTTAAATGCAGGGAGGGAGTATGACAAAGATGGCAACCTGAGGTCATGGTGGAAGAACTCCTCAGTGGAGGCCTTCAAACACCAGACCGAGTGCATGATCGAGCAATACAATAACTTCACCATCAGCGGTGAGCAAGTGAATGGCAAGCAGACGTTGGGAGAGAATATTGCTGACAACGGAGGTCTGAAAGCAGCCTACCATGTAAGTACCTGTTGTTCATTGAGGTTCCTGGTGAATGCCACAGGCATCTGTTAGACATGGCACATGATTGATATGAGGAGGTTTTCGGACTCTAGCCCTGGCCCCACCCCCTGCTCACGGCCTTGCTCCGAGCTCAGGCTGAACGGGACAGGGGGCGGTGAGGAGAGAGTCAAACTCCCCCATTTCAGTCCTTTGGTCTGTTCTTCCCCAATCAACAGCAAGAGGGTGGGCTCATCATCCAACCGAAGGCGGGGGTGGGGGGACGATTGGCTGTGCTCTCGAAGCTTGCTGGCCAGTCAGAGGCCTCCCTGCTTACCAGAGCAGGTGGCTGCAATGGAAGGTAAGTAAGAGAGAGACGATGCTTCAGCATGGAGGAGGGAATTCGCCAACTTCTTCATCTGGAAAGAGAAAGCTAATGCAGCCATTGTCAGCTCTGTGGGTAGGTTTGGGGGTGGAGGTGCTCCTCTACACCGCGCTGTACAGCCCTCAGGCTGCTGGGAAGGCCTGTTGTGCAGCTGAGGTCTCTACCCCACCCCTGTATTCCCAGGTGGAGAATCTCCATTGGCATCCTCTTACTGACCTTCAGTGGCCCTTAACGAGCGTGATTGGCTAAATGCCACTTTCCATTGGGTTGCCCTGCATCCCCCTTCTTGGGAAATGGCCGAGGGGAAGGACAGAGTTGGGAAGGAAGGGGTGTGTGGGTGAAAAGTGCTTCACTTGTGGAATGTCCCTGCTGAGCTTTGCAGACGGCTCAGTTCCTCTTAAACCAACAATAAGTGACAGCAGGTGGGAAGGTCTCCCTCTGCCTCAGACTACCCTATACTGGAACTAAACAGTGTAGAAGAAGCTATTCAGCCCTCCCAGTTTGGACTGCCAAAGGCAGCTAACTACTGCATGCATCCATTACATTTCTTGGGTACACAAGTGTCTGGGCTAATGTTAAGCTATTGAGTGACACAGAGAGGCATGCTTTCAGTAGCATACCGTGTTTCAAATGATCCAAGATAAGATGGAGTATGAGATGTTTATACCCTCAGGTCACCTGCTGTGATTATGTTCTGCTGCTGCGAAACTAAAGGTACAAAGCAGCGCAGAATACTGCTGAACCTGAGCCTGCCTGAGAGAGCTTTCAGTGCTGTAATGAGCTGACACCTCTTGGTCGCTGAATCAGGCAAATGTTGCTGTAGCTTGAGCATGTCCCTAGGGTGAGTGCAGCACTGTGGAGTCCCACACTGCCTGAGGTGCGTTAGTTCAGATGTGATGTCCATCCCCCTCTAGTCAATTAAAAAGATTCTACAGTACTGTTCAAATGGTATATGGGTGCTATGCAAATGCAAGTTTGTTGTTTATTTAGCAATTCCCAGTAAATGATTCAAAACAACTTGGCTTTGTTCGTAAACCAAAGAAGATATTAAAGGGATTGTTTGCATGAATCTATTGACCTCAATAAACAAATCTGTTCCCAGGCCTATGAGAACTGGGTGAAAAAGAATGGTGAAGAACTGACTCTGCCCACCGTGGGCCTCAGCAACAGGCAGCTCTTCTTCCTTGGATTTGCTCAGGTGAAGTGAAATAATATTTAACTACACAGAGGTCTCACATTGCAGGGACACTTTGTTAGTGGAAGTCTGGATTTCTAATCAAGGCTGCAATCCCCTAGGAATTCTGATTGTACAGATGATTGTACTGTTGATGTCCCTGTGGTTCTGAGGCAGTCACTTTCTGAAAGTGCATTGTTGCTGTTAAAATATCCCACTTTTACCACTGGAATAGTATCGACCAATAACTCAGAAAGCTGCCAGTTAAGGAGTAAGTCAAACCTTCCAGCTGACCTCTCTGTTACCTGTGTCCAGAGTGTTACAAGGGTTCAGTGGAGATGCCAGGCAATGTACCCACCCTTGGGCCCACTGACACCCTTGAGTAGCCAGTGAATTGGGGGCATCATCCCACCACCATCACTACTTTACCCACAGGGCAAGATCTACATCATGCATGAAGCCCAGCACCTTTTAGCTGCCCAGCCTGGGCAGGTGTAGGGGCACCTTCCATTTTGGGGTCCCCCGGGTCCATTGGGCCCCCTTTCCCTGCCAATGCCATTCCTCCCCCACCATAACCCACCTTCTAATGTCTTGCCCAGCACATCAGTGCAAAAGGTAAGGCAGAAGCATTCCAGGAATCTTTAGCCAGAAGTGCTGAGCGGATGATTCATCTCAGCCGCCTCCAGTGGTCCCCAGCATTACAGATAACAGTCTACAGACAATTCGATTCACTCCACGTGATATCAAGAAAGAGTTGGAGACACTGAATACTGCAAAGGCTATTAGATCTGACAATATTCTGGTAATAGTCCTGAAGACTTGAGCTTCAGAAATTGTCGCTCCTCTAGACAAGTTCTTCCAGTAGAGTTGCAATTGGCATCTACCCAGCAATGTGGAAAATCGCCGGTATATCCTTATGTATGACTCTTAACTGGCCTCTGAATTGGCCCAGCGAGCCACGCAGTCAGGGGCTAGTGTGGATTTTTTTTGAGTATGTTTCACAGAATGCAGGCATCATTGGCTAGGCCAACATTTGTTGACTGTCCCCAGCTGCCCTGAGGGCACTTCACAGTAGACCACAACAGTGTGGGTCTGGAGTCACGTGTAGGGTAGACTGGGTAAGGACAACAAATTTACCTTCCCTGAAGAAGGTTAGTGAACCAGATTGCTATTAACAACCATCAACAATTGTCGCTATTGGGCTCACTTTTTAACTGCAGGTTTTTATTGAAATCAAGTTTCACCATTTGCCATGCTGGGATTTGAGGTCATGTCTCCAGACCACTAGCCTGGGTTTCTGGATTACCAACCCTGTGGCAATGTTCGAGGTCACTGCCTACAAATGCTTGTCTTGCTCGTATCCCGCACAAGAATTCCTTTAATGTTTTCCTAGTCAGTTTAATTCAACTAGCACCTATGGTGACCTCAGTATGGCCCCCAAGCGCCACACAACCATTGAAGTATTTTGGAAATGCAGTGAGTGTTGCAAAGTGAGGAACATGTTATTTTCTGCCCCATTCAGGTCTGGTGCTCAGTGCGGACCCCAGAAAGTGCCCACGAGGGGCTTGTCACGGATCCCCACAGCCCCTCGATGTACAGGGTGATTGGAACTGTGGCCAACTCGGTGGAATTCGCCAAGCACTTCAACTGCCCCGTGGGGAGCCCAATGAACCCCGTGAGAAAGTGTGAGGTGTGGTGAGTGCGGAGAGTGGAGTGCCCAAAATTCCTGGAGCAACAAAGCGTGAGAGACTTTGAAGTGGGGGGGAACCCCAATCAGGACGTTACCCCGCCTCGTGAAGGAGGGAGATTTATTTTATCGAAAAGCCTGCAAATCGCACAGTGTAGATCTTATACTCAGTTTCCCAAACAGCGGATGCTACTGGAACCTGAGAGACACTGCAAGTGACTAAAAATCCAGGTGATATTGGACAGCGTTGTTCAAAGGGAGAAGGACAATCATCACCAAAAAAAAACCACAATTGCTGATTTGCTGCAGGACACGTTTTAAATAACTATTTCTGTTTAGTAAATTGAATATTTAAAATTGTAAAAGAATGAGCCTGAGGGATTCCCTCAGAGGTTTTGCAATGGGTCTCTGTGTCTCTGGGGGGGGATCCCCGACTGCACTGGCAAACGGATCTTTTCTGCCAAAGTTGGAAGATTCCCAGGAAATTCCCGGTGTTAAATTTTGATTGCTGGTTATCATTTGTAGTCTTGGGTGGAGTGTACCTGCCTTGGACTAAGTATGCTGAAATGTAATTTAATCCGAGAGAGAAATTCTGAATGTTCCCTGCCTCATTTGCTGCTGCTCATTCTCAATGCCTTCTACCCATTGCTTTACACAGTCGTCCTCTCGTGCCCTTTGCTCCCTTCGCCTGGTGGGAAGAGGTGGAGATGAATGAGTGGTCAAACTCTTCACCAACCCATGAATCTGCCTTCCCCCCTCACTCACTGACCCCAAAGTGAACTCCTACAGGATGGTGAGGATATCCTGGAGGGAGAGTGTTTCTTGGTTTTATTTACGTCCTTGCTTTTCAGTTAGCTCCACTGACATGTGGTGGGTTTGTTTGCAAGCTGGTGAGCATGTAGACTCTTGCCTGGCCTAACCCTAATCATCTGTCCAGAGCCATGCCCTGAGTACTCGAGGTGTTTCCTGTTTTATCTCAGTCCAGCACGATGGGCACTGATTTCACAGTCAGAGTCAGTGTTTTAGGACAGAGGTGAGAATTTTTTTCTGACAGAGGGTTGTGTGACTTTGGAACCCTCCTGCTTCAGAAGGTGGTGGAGGCAGGGTCGTTAAATATCTTCAAGATGGACATGGATAGAGTTTTGTTAGGCAGGGAATCGAGGGTTCAGGGATAGGTGAGAAAGTAGATTTTGAAACAGAGGTCAGCTGTGAATGACAGAACAGTCTTGGGGGGCTGAATGGCCTTCTGCTGCTCCTATTTCATATATGGAGATGATTGGGGTCAAAGTAGAAATGAGGTGGAGAGGACAAAATGGTCTATGTCTAGTTATGAAGATCACTGTTCCGGATAGCAGCAGTGAGCAGTGAAGTGTGTTTCACACAGGGATAGGACTTGTGTCCAGTAGGCCTGCTCACTGCAACAGGATAGGGTAAATTAACTCACTGGCACCCATGCAGGTGGTGGTGTTCCTATGCACTTTCTACCATTGTCCTTCTAGATGATAGAGGTCATGGGTTTGGAAGGGGTTGGTGAGTTGCTGTTATTCACGTAGCCTTTGAAGAATGAGTGTGATATGGTCAGCCCATGGTAGATTAGGTTTCCACGTTGCACATTTCTGTGGGTGGCACCAAAAGTGAATTATTTTAATTCATTCACGGGATGAGGGTATCACTGGCTAGGCAGCATTTATTGCCCATCCCTCCTTGCCAGAGGGCAGTTGAGAGTCAGAGATATTAGGAACTGCAGATGCTGGAAAACTGAGATAACAAGGTGTAGAGCTGGATGAACACAGCAGGCCAAGCAGCATCATAGGAGCAGGAAGGCTGACGTTTCGGGCCTAGACCCTCAACCACATTGCCGTGGGTCTGGAGTCTCATGTGGGCTAGACGAGGTAAGGATGGCAGTTTCCCTCCCTAAAGGACATTGATGAACTAGATGGGTTTTTCCAACAGTCGACACTGGATTCATGGTCATCATTAGAGCCTTAATTCCAGATTTTTTTTTTTAATTGAATTCCCATTCCACCATCTGCCATGCCAGGATTCGAACCCAGGTCCCCAGAAAATTACCTAGATCTCTGGATTAACAGTCCAGTCAAAATATCTCTCGGTCCTCATTATGGAGTTGGTAAGGCCCAATGATAGGCTGGTGCTCCCAAGTTATCCTGAGTTGTCCCTCTGATTCGGAACATTTACGTATTGCACATTGGAACTGTAAATCAATTCATTTAAATTCACATTCACCTTTTGTTATAAATTGGGTTCTAAAGCTGAAGGCTTATATTTTGTTGGAAAATATTAGGCTTTTTTTTAATTCATTCATGGGATGAGGGCATCTCTGGCTAGGCCAGCAGTTACTGTCTATCACTAATTGCCCAGAGATCAGTGAAGAGTCAACCACATTGCTGTGGGTCTGGAGTCACATGTAGGCCAGACCAGGTAAGGATAGCAGTTTCCTTCCCTAAAGGACATTGGTAATCCAGATGGGATTTTCCGACAATCAACAGTGGATTCACAGTCATTATTTGACTCTTAACTCCAGAATTTTATTTAATTCAAATTCCACCATCTGCTATGGCAGCATTTGAGATCAAGTCCCCAGAACATTACCTGGGTCTCTGGATTAATAATCCAGTGATAATACCACTGGGACATCACTTCCCCAACGCTGGATAACCACTTACAAAGAAAAGCAAATTTAAATGTCCCCCCCTCCTCCAACCAATTCTTTTTCAGTCTGAGAAAAGTAGCAGCACCAACACTTTCAGAGTTCTGCTCATTCTGATCAACGCATACAAGAGAATGTCAGCTTTCTGGCACTCCACCATGCTATATCCTGTCTGCTTTACTTCATCTTCCTAGTGGTAAGTCTGCAGAGGCCTTGCTGAGAGTGGGTGAGAGTAAATGTATCATCTTGGGGGAAAGAGACACACATGATATGGAAGAGATTTGAAGATATTGTGAAATTGTAATTATTGTCAAAGGATGTATGTGAATTTAACTAAATACCACACGGCTGTAACAGGTGTAAGAATATATGTATATGGTTGGTACATGGGCTGAATATTACTTTTACTAGTTGACTCATTTTTCTGTGATCCATCCTGCTGTTTTGCCTCATTTTACTGTTTCTGCAATTTCACTCGCGAGCGGGAAAACCTGAGTGTCCCAGTAACACTGTCACCAGGACCATTCCTAGCTTCCATTCATTTGCCAGTTCTGTGGATCTGGGCATCTCTATCCTTAGATCAGCACAATGGCGTGATTGGACCTGACAGAAAATAAACGTTCTTCTTTTGCTTTTGATTGTACACTTTGTGAAGCTTGTAGAAAATGTTGACACATTCCCCTTAGGCTTTCCTTTGCTGGAATGGTAGCTACGTGGACTTGTCACCATCTCAGGAAGGTGGTCTCCAGTTTAACATCCTCTGTGAAACTGTTGTGAAATCCTCCACCCTCAGGCTGTGATTCTCTTACTGTTAAGGCATCTGTCTCATCAAACTGCAAAGAACAACCGGCAAATAAAAGCGAGAGACCACGGGTGCTAAAAATCAGAAATGAAACCAGAGAATGACGGAGGAGCTCAGCCAGTCTGGCAGCGGCTGTGGGTTCAAAATTATTCTTCTTCAGAGCTGTGATAAATAACCATCATAAAGGTTTCAAATTTGACCCTACGTTTTTGCGGTGATTCACAGTGCACAGCACCAGAGTAAAATACCAATGGTTACAGATCTATCTTGACTGGTTTCTTGATCATTTCAGGCCTGTCAGAAAGAAATAAAAGTCCCTCTAATGCACTCATAAAACAACATAATATGGGTTTCAGAAGTCTGGTTTTTTAAGAAGTCTGTTTTTTTTTTAAGTCTTTACTATCCCTTTGACATTCTGTCCCCTTTGCCATATCCATCAATGCACAATGTGGCTATGATGTTTACAGAGTATACTATCAGCTGGTGTAAGAGAAAAATCCTATGTAAACCTTTTGCTGATGCAATTCCTCAGTGATTCTCTTAATTCCTAACAAGTAGCTGTTGAACAAATCATTGCACCCGAATACCTGCTTGTTGCTAAATACAGCAGCAATTGTTGGGTTGGTGCAGGGCTGGACTCAACTGGCTGATAACACACACTAAGAATTTAAAATTTTGGTAAAGATCCGTAGCTTGGGTTGTGGATGAGGTTGTTGACTTGCACTCCGAGCTGGCTTGTTCTCGTTCAGACATTTCGTCACTATTCTGGGTGACATCAGCAGTGGATCTTCCGATGAAGCGAAGTTATTCTACCCCGCTCAGAATTTATACTGTCTGCTCCGTTATGGTGAGTACCGTCATTTCTGGTTTTGATCTGTATGGGTTTGTATATGATCCAATTCTATATTTTGTCATATAGAACCCCATATACAAACCGATACAGATCAAAATCGGAAATGACACTACTCACCATAACAGACCGGACAGTATAAATTCTAAGCAGAATAGAATAACATCACTTCATCGGAGGCTCCACTGATAATGTCACCTAGCATGGTGACGAAATGTCTGAACGAGAACAAGCCAGCTCAGCGAGCAAGTCAACACCGTCACACACCAAGAATTTCCACCTGAGTGAAGGAACCGTACTGGGGGAGTGGACCCTTTGAGCTGCAGCTCTGCATGAAGTCAGGACAAGGCAAATTAACAAGAAAGACATAGTTCATGGAATTTACAGCAGAAGACCAGGCCATTCAGCCCAACTGGTCCCTGTTGGTGTTTGTTCTTCACACAAGCCTCCCTGCTTCATCCAACATATCCTTCCATCGTTTCACCCTTGTGTGTTCTAGCAGCTTCGATATTCTGTGTGTTCTCTGGGTATTTAATTGACTTCATTTCTGTTGTGAAAGCAGATGATTGTGCTTATTAATGACGTGCGCAAGTGTAGTTTGTGGTTGGCACTGTCAGTCATGTCAGTGACTGAGACTGGAAACCTCCAATTGAACAGATGAAGGAGAAAATGTCATAATTCCTATACGATACTTCTGACCTTTTCCTTTCAGAGTGAAATATGAGAGAAATGTTTGATCTCTGCTAGAGCATTGTGTACAATTCTAGACATCGCACCTTAGGAAGGATGTCAAAGTCTTGCACAGGGTGTCAAGAAGATTTACCCGACTTGGACCAAGGATGAGAGGACAGAGAAGTTGTGCTTGGTCTCAATGCAGTGAATAGTAGGGGGACGTTTAATTTCTCAAAATTGATCTCTTTTTGAGAGAGCACTTGTGGGGAGAGCATTCCAGTATGTGGTCAGGGATTTAAGGTGATTGGCAGAAGGACCAGAGAGGGAGAAAAATGTTTCCTTTGATTTGTGGGATATGTTGATGTGGAACATGCTGCCATAAAGGGTGGTGGAAGCAGATTCAGGATTGAATCCCAGTGGGAATTGAATATTTATTCTTTTTTTTGTGGGATGTGGGCGTCACTGGCTGGCCAGCATTTCTTACCCGTCCCTAGTTGCCCTTGAGAAGGTGGTGGTGAGCTGCCTTCTTGAACCGCTGCAGTCCACCTGCTGTGGGTGGACCCAGAATGCCATCAGAGAGGGAATTCCAGGATTTTGACCCAACAATACTGATGGAACAGTGATATATTTCCAAGTCAGGATGGTGAGTGACTTGGAGACGAGTTTGAAGGTGGTCGTGTTCCCTTGTCCTTTTAGATGGAAGTGTTTGAGGATTTGGAAGGTGCTGTCTAAGGACCTTTGGTGAATGTCTGCAGTGCATCCTGTAGATCGTACACACTGCTGCTACTGAGCATTGGTGGTGGAGGGAGTGGATGCTTGTGGATGTGGTGCCGATCAAGCGGCTGCTTTGTCTTGGACGGTGTCAAGCTTCTTGAGTGTTGTTGGCAGCTACACTCATCCAGGCAAGTGGGGAGTATTCCATCACACTCCTGACTTGTGCCTTGTAAATGGTGGTCAGGCTCTGAGGAGTCAGGAGGTGAGTTACTTGCTGCAGTATTCCCAGCTTCTGGCCTGCTCTTCTAGCCACTGTGTCTATGTGGTGAGTCCAGCTGAGTTTCCGGTCAATGATAACCCCCAGGATGTTGATAGTGGGGGATTCAGTGATGGTAACACCATGGAATGTTAAGGGGCGGTTTTAGATTGTCTCTTATTGGTGCCGGTCATAGCCTGGCATTTATTTGCAGCAAATGTTACTTGCCACTTATCAGCTGGATATTGTCCACATCTTGTTTCATTTGAACATGGACTGCTTCAGTATCTGAGGAGTCGCGAATGGTGCTGGACATTGTGCAGTCATCAGCGAACAACCCACTTCTGACCTTATGATGGAGGGAAGGTCATTGATGAAGCAGGTGAAGATGGTTGGGCCTAGAACACTACCCTAAGAAACTCCTGCAGAGATGCCCTGGAGCTGAGATGATTGACCTCCAACAACCATGACCAGGCACTGGAGAGTTTGCCCCCTGATACCCATTGATTCCAGTTTTGCTAGGGTTCCTTGATGCCACACTTGGTCGAATGCAGCCTTGATGTAAAGGGCTGTCACTCTCACCTCAACCCTAGAATTCAGCGGTTTGCTCCATGTTTGAACCAAGGCTTTAATGCGATACTTCTAATAAAGTGAAAATGGCAAAGTTATGGGAAAAGAGTAAAGATAAGTGGGCCTGATTTGGACAGCTCCGTCAATGAGCCAGCACTGGCATGATGGGCTGTTGAGTCTAATTGTGTATGATTCTATGACCAGGCCCATTAGGTGGGTACAGCATGAATTACAGTGCTTGCAGCATTTGGCGTTTTAATTCAAAAAACAGTAGGAAATCATAACCTGGTTCTGTGCTGTCACTGATGCCTGGAAAATGGGAGAGAATGTTTTCCTTTTCTACGTTGAGGCTACTCGAATCAGAAATGCGGCAGGTTTATGTAAGCGTGGGCGCAGATATGTGTGTGTATGTGGGGCCTCCGGAGTTAGATTGCTGGGCGAAGATGATCCATAATTGCACGTAAGGTGAAAAAACATTGAAACTTGTGAATGATGCATACTGGTTCAACATGACCTCAGGACGGTGCTCCAGTAAAACCAGCACTTTCATGTCCAAATGTTACATCTTTAAAACTGGTTTCTCCTACGAGACCTGAGCAGTTACTGATTCAGAGTTTTGATCATGCTAACCTCTGCGTCACCACTTTTAAGCTGAGTCATTTCATACCCTTCCCCCAAACTCTCACTGCAGGCATCTGTGAAGTTTTCAGTGTCTGTGGACACCTGGTGGTGAGAGGTTCATGGTTCTCCCAGCCACTGGTATCGGGGGTGGTGGGGGCTGGGGGGCGGTGGGGTAGGTTTTGGCGGGGGGGAGCGGAGGTGGGGTTGGCGGGGTGCGGGGATGTCGAATGGATTCCAAGTTCCTTTGTGAAATGGACAACTTTATTCTTAAAATGATGCACCCCCCACCCCCGCTCTTGTTTTGGATTCTGCTGCCAGAGAAAAGAGATGGATGCGGGTGAACTGTCAGATCTGAAATCCTCCAGCATCTAAACACCAATCGATCTTCTATACTTGTCACTGGGGAAGGTGAGTGCGTTCAATTGTTGAGATGATCCACCCTAAGACTTGAAAGCCACATGGAATGGAGGCATTTGTTAGCACTAAGCTCAAATACAACACTATCCAAAAGGAGAAGCCCCTGTTGTTAGCTGCCAGCTCTGCCAATCATTTGTATTTAAAAAAAAAACCTTCTTTGAATTCATTCACAGGATGTGGGCATTGCTAGCTGAGCCAGCATTTATTGCTTGTCCCTAATTGCCCTGGAGGAGGTGGTGGTGAGCTGCCTTCTTGAACAGCTGCTTGGGGTGTAGGGACCCAGAGAGAGTTCCAGGATTTTGACCCAGGAACAGTGAAGGAATGGGGATACAGTTCCCAAGTCTGGACTGAGAGTGACATGGAAGAGAACCTGCAGGGAGGTTATCTGCCGACTAGTCAGTATGCAGCCAGTTGTTGCTGTCCAATGGGGCATTGAGAGTGTTAGCAGTGGTTCCAAACAGTTCTGAGGAATTAGATATGACCGCGGGGCAGCAACTGAAGACCAAATCTAAGCACTGGAAAGGAATTGGAGGAGCGTAGTGTGGTTTGAGGGTTGATTGTGGGTTAAGTTGAGGAATAGGTTACTTTATGTCACTGGATGATGCTTGCATGGGACTGTGGCTCATGCTAGTTATGACCACACTTACCTGCTGCTCTACTTCGCCCATTCAACTCTCCAAGCCTCTTATCCATCTCCCAGTCAGCGACTCTCCGTGTAATTAAACCTCAAGGCTCTTGTCT